GTTTTCTAGCCAGGGATAAAACCCAGCACGTATTCACATTTTATATGAGGGTTGTATGGGTAGGGAGAAAGGTCAAAGGAATCATTTCAGTTTCAGCTGAGATTTTGTCTTAGCTCTGTTCAAATCATGGAAGTCACCAACAGCAAATTGAAACAATGATTTTTTTAAGAATCAATTTCTTTTTCCATTGCAGATGAATTTCTCTGTTGGAGACAGCTCTGCATAAAAGGTGACTCTTTTGTTCCTTCTCCTGTGTACTGTTAGAAACCAAACAGTCTTAACTCTGTCTCACACTCACACTGAACAAGGAGGCTGGAATCCCCAGGCCCTCCACTTCATTTTCCTCTCTTTCTCTCTGTATACAGGTTTTATATACGGTTACCTAAAAATCTAAACTGTAACTAAAGAAATTTAAACTCTAAATAGCCTGATCAAATGAATCAGTTTTAGCAACCACAACACTAATAAAGTCTGTACTGTAGGTAGCAATAGAGCCAATAGGATAGAAGCCTCTTGGCATTCCAGGCATTTCAACGCCTTTCCTCATGATGACTTCATGAACTGGAAGAGCTGGTTGAAATAACAGTCCTTATAAACAATCGACATCGCTGTCTACAGTTTTATCATTAACATACTCCTAACGCTGAAAAGAAATTGCAGTGAAGACACATTTCAAGGCACCATTTTAGCTTTTCCTCCTGCTCCAACCAGCAACATAGCTGGCTTCACACAGTTTAGTTCATGCTCTTGTATTAGCAAGCCAAGGAACTTAGCCAAGATTGGATCAGGACCAGCTATCCCAAATGCCACAGAGCTGTACATACAGTCCTGTTCCTGAATAAAAGGAGCCTCAGAGCCTTGCTAGACAGCAGTGCAGGCAATTCAGTAGCCACCTGCCTTCTACACTTATATTTCTCCTCTCAATTAATACAAGTCTTTCACTTGCACTTCCCAGGGCAGAACAGTAAGTAACCACAGCCCAGCTCTCTGCTCCCATCTCCTCTGGCTGAACTTTTCCACCTGAACAGAGCCCATGGAGTCTTTTTGAGGAACTATGGAAAGCAGCAATGGTGGGAGAGACCACACTTAGGGTTCCAACAAGCGTCTAGAGACAAATCATGACACCTTCCTATTACTGATTTTGTAAGCATATTTATAGATGTTTGCATTCAGTATCATTCAGCTGCAATGAAGTCCTCACTTAAGTATGTAAAATGAACTTTGTTTACTTAATATTCTGCAACAGCTTTAAACAGCCATCAAAACTGTTCCTGTAATGAGGAAATTAATTACAGAGTCTACAAAAGATATCTCAATGGAGGGCATGTTTAGAGGTTACTGAAAACCTGGCAGCTTACATTTCTTCTCAATGTTGACTGCCAACTTGTAGAAAAAAACCTAATCCAGAGTAAAACCCCAAACATTTCAGTATGACTGAAACTCGCTCAGCTTTATTGGAATTGCAACCAGGTCTTCAAAAACAAATACGTAGCAATAGCTTCCATTATTTATTTAGCTCCCATATGGACATCCCCAAATGCTAAGATCCTCCAGAGAAGCTACACTGTTTCAGTGTCAGTGCCTCAACTATGTAATATATTGTCTTCAGACTGACTCTCTAAATCACTATTATACAGGTTTTTTGAAGCCAAATTAAATGTTTTGATTTAAACAGACATGAGTTTGTGGAAGATATTTTAAAGGGGTTTAACTCATTGAAGATATTTCTCATGAAGGCGTGATCCATATGACAACACCATTGTGAACTGAAACCTACAGTTGAGATGAGTTCCCAAAAAGAACAGAAGATTATTTTTGCATCAAAAATATCTTCATTATCTCAAAAATATCTCCAAGCATCCATGCAGAATTCGACAAGAGATCACATACTTCAAATAGGGCACCTTCCAACTCATTAGATCACATTGAAGGTTAGAATCACAGAGTTGGAAGGGACCTCCAGGGTCATCTTGAATGAACTTGTAGGCTTGATGGCACTTTTCACCACCATTCTAGTTCATGGCTAATTCAAGCCCTTAGTTCAAACAAGCATCATTACAAAGATCTAGACAATGCATAACCACTGCCACAAATAAATAATTTCTCTGCTCTTCAAAGCTGAAATCCTTATTTACTAAAAATTTTATATCCCATGTTTCCTTGTGGCTCTGTAAAACCAGTCTCCTGGTAAAATTCTCTACAGCAGTGGTTCTTAACCTTTAATCATTACCATCCCCCAAGTATGCAACATTATTATCAAACAACCACCCCCAGCCACAAGTAAAACTTGGGACATAAATACAGCACTTCAGTGAACTTCCTATAAATATTTATACTTTATGCTTATGAAAGAGAACTCAGCCTACATTCAATGAGACCCTTGTGCCTGACAGGCATCAGCTGTTAAGTTTGATTCTTTTTTTGCTATGTGCCTGTTATAAAGACTTGGGGGAGAAAACTAGGATCCAGGGGGTTTATCCCCAGGGTATGGTATTAGTATAAAACAACTGTCCTTTGCTCGCAGTCAGAAACCACTGGAAATGCAAAGAAGGTGCAGCCCAAAATCTCCAGAGTTCACCCGTTTGCCCTGAGAAGTTCTGAATGCTTCCCCCCACATTTGTAAATCACACCTCGGTGGCCACACAAGCTCTCATAAGAAATACTGATATAGACCCAGGTCAGTCACTAACAAGAAATTAAATTAGCCAAGGCACTCTTTCTATCCAATTTAACTGTCCTTGAACTAAGCCTTTGGTGTGGAATGGGTCTGTGTGAAATGTGCTATGTTCCAATATGCATGGTTGCCATTTTGTATGAATGGAGTAACATGTTTATTTTCCATGCACATATAGCTTCAGTATGTGTTAATGGAATCCCATATTTCTGAGGGACAACTGAGCGTATCAGGAGGACTGCATGTAGTGTGCACTTCCATTACAAGTAGTTGGAACCCAAAACCTGAACATCTGAAAAGGACTTTAGTCATTCACGGAATGCATCATGTCTCAAAGAGGCACATTTGGAAGGTATCATGAAATACTGTAATCAATTGAAGCTTACCTGGCCTGGCTGCTCACAAGGTGTCTGGTATCTTGCTTGCTGACACAACTCCTTTACTCTTTCATATTTTGGCAAGTGATTAGACTGCTGGACATTTTTGGTTGGTTCCTCCTTCTTTCGCAGAAATTTACTTCAATAAGAAAAAGAAACAGTATTTTGGGGGGTTTTTTTGAAGATGGCGCACATGAAAAACAAATGTCAGTCAGTCCCTAAGGTCAGCAGGAAGTCACAGCACCCTCCTCATCAAACCAAGAGTGCAGACGCTACCAATAATTTGTCAGAGAATTATGCCCTATGTATAGAATAGGGCAAAATAAAGTCTGGGAAAAGCTCTGATCCCCAAATGACTTCTCTGATCTCAGCCAAAGCAGCACCGTCTAAGAAATCTTTAATTATAGAGTGGCAGCCTGTCAAGGAGCCACTCCTCTTCACAGAAGCTCCCTTGCTTTGTCACAAATGAGTGGGTCCCTATGAGGACTTATTAAGGGGAAGGCACTCTGTACATGTTCAGAGGCATTCTAGTCTACTATTGCTTCAGATATTTCAAGGCAACTACAAGCATTGAACACAGTTTCTGGGTTTGGACTTGGGATAAAAATTACACCATGCAGCAAAGGTTACTGCAGGGCTATGGATGCAAAGGCATCTTTGAATGGATAGTTCTGAACAGCAAAGAAGTAATCGTTGAGGAACAAGAAAGCAACAGGGCCTCAAGAATTGCCACAAGAAGCTACTTGAGGTAACTTAATAGAGAGTTCAAAACAGCCAAGGTAAAGGTGATTGATGAGTTTGCATACAAGAAGCGAACAAGTTTGCAAACAAGATGCAAGATTCTCTAATGCCCACTCAAAATGAAAAAAAGGAGTGCAGTTGCTCAAGGAAGCAATTTTCCCAGACATCTCTCAGCTCTCATAATTACCCTCTTTCCACCAGGAATGTATCACGCCAAATTTTGGTTTTCTTGTTTGTTCGAAACCTGAAATCAAAATAGTAATATTTACTGTTGGCGTATGTGACTATGTCTGTCCAGGCAATTAAAGGTGATGAATTCATTTTTTCCCTTCAAACCAACCTAACCATCTTCTCATGCATTCCCACAGTTTTATAAATGTCCTCTTTAAAATGGTTTTGAGTTGGGAAAAATGCAGCTCAGTAGCCAATTCTACCTGTTCTGCCCCAGTTCATTTTCTGTCTACTTCATTGATTTACTCAGATATTGACGGCCAACAACAACCTTTAAGAAACAGTTTGCACCCACCTGTTTCCTGGTTTTTCAAGGTCCAGGAGTTTTAGAATAGATTTGCCATCCATATCTGGAGGCGTGTCAAGTCCTGCAATATCCAGAACAGTTGGAGCAAGGTCAATATTCAGCACTAGCTGAGATACTCTGCAAATTAACAGAAAAGGTCAGAGTTGTATTATGAACATTAGACGTAACCTTTCACATCCATGTGGAATCTGAATGCCAATTAATGCTGGAACGGCACTTTGATTTAAAGTTGTGTATAATGAACTAAGTCTACAAGTGCCCCTTTAGGGACTTGCAACTTTACAACAGACACACTAAGCACATTTCTTGATATAAAGATGAATCTTTACATTAAGCAGGGAGGCAAAGCAGCTGTGCTACTCTCACCAAACCTGCAACAAAAGCTATATTTATTCACCTTATTCAGCTAGGATGAGTCCTCACACAACCCCATTAACTCTTTAGCAGCAACCACAAAGCAGAACTGCAACAGATCTATAATATACGTGGATGCTCATTTATGCTTTAACAAACTTTAAAAAATAATAATCAACGTATACTAGAAAGAAATCATCTTTTGTTCCTCTTAACCAATGCTTTGCATTAATCTTGATGAAATAAAACCAGCCACTAAGAAGGACAATCAAATATGCTTACAAATATTTTACATTAGGTACAACAGCTGTGCTGCAGACTTAGGAGAACGTACACTGATCCCGGCTCTACACTTGGACCACGAATAAAGAAAGGGACGCGAATATCAAAGTCATATGGCATTGACTTCCCCTTGACCAGTCCAAATTGCCCAATATGGTAACCATGGTCAGCAGTGTAAATAATGTAGGTATTCTCCAGTTCCCCAGTCTCCACTAGCATATGATATAACTGAAACACAGCATATGAAAAAAATACTTCATCAATGATAACAATATACACATTAGTACATACAGAAGCATTCATGCGTAAACAATCGCATACAACTATTTAGGTCACTGGTAAAATTAGCTCATAGTCATACTAAATACTCACACATGGGGCAGCAAGTATGATGGAGCAACTCTTAATGTAATTTACAAGGTGTCTTGAGGGAACCTGTACCTGAATATTCTCTTTAGTGGGTAAACATATTCCACAGCAAGTAGCTCCTATAATGGTGCAAGGCCTCTGGGACAATCTCCTGATGCCAGAGCATGACTTTCACACTCTAAAACCATTACTGGCAAGCTGGGAGGAACGTTGTGGTTTTGTATGCACACATACACACAGCCACTAGGGAATATCTTGCTCAGCATGCACAGGAAAGGTGAAACACACTGCAGAACATCTTGCCAAGATTTTCCCCAATGTGGAAGTGGTTAGCTGATCTACTAGATCCTACAGGTCTTTATGTACACACATTTTCCATATGATACAGAAAACACTTGTTTCTTCCCTACATACATTCTCTCTAGGAAAAAAGGGGGGAGGGGATGCATTCTGACAGAAGAAAAATGACCAACATGTGTTTAGAAAATACTGCAACCCCAGGATAAGGAGTTACCCTGCTACCAATTCAGGTTAAGGTTACATTGCAGCAGCATTCAGAAATGGTAGAAGAATGGTTTTCAATGTTTCCATTACTCTTTCCATGGAATCATCAACAGATAGTAAAGTCTGAAGTCTTTTGCGCTGCAAGACATTTGTAAATTCCATGTGAATAGGAAGCATAGGGCCTGTATACTGCATAATCCAGTGCTTATCCATGTTTGGTGCATAGTTGTAGCTGGGAGTTCTGAAAAGCAAAATGATATTAAAGATTCAAAAATGTAAAATCCCTGTAGCATGTTTCTAGTTCTCAAATGTACAGGTTACAGGAGTCTTTTAAAATTTTAATGAGAGAGGACTTGTATAACCCTTCTTTTTTACCAAATTATCATCCAGTAAGTAAAGTCGCCCAACATATCTACTGTGGTTCAAGATCCTGAGCACATGTTATAGGAGTCTTTTAAAATTTTAATGTGAGAGGACTTGTATAACTCTTCTTTTTTACGAAATTATCATCCAGTAAGTAAAGTTGCCCAACATATCTACTGTGGTTCAAGATCTGACCCTTCGATTTCCCAATGAGTTACAATATTTCATACAGTAGACTTCATGGGGGCTTTTCTGAGATCCTTAATCTCCATAAATTTGTATCGAGGAATCATACAGAAGGTCACACAAAATTTTCCTGAACTTTTAACCAGATCTTTTTAAAAAAAAACTCACCTGAAATAATTGTATGTCTAGTCTGAGTACTACCCCTGATTTTTTTCTTCTTTAAAGAAAATTGATTACTATTGTTGCAGCCTTTAAAGAAAATTGATTACTATTGTTGCAAATGATTGTTTCCAGACTTAAAAACATTTCTAAAGTCACTTGTGAAAAACATTCAGTTAGGATCGTAAACCCAGTCAATGTAGGATTTTATAATGTTCCACGAACCATCAAGGGACTGCAAGTGATGGGTACTAAAGGCTTACACTACCTTTATTTTCTATGAGAAGCAGCATATATACAATTTTTCCTCCACAATTAGTCCCTGCCAAATAAATTAGGCTAGGCTAGATGTTCAAGAGTCATTTCCAATCAACAGTCTAACTAGCATAACCAGTCTAACTAGCATAATCAGAGACCTCTTCTAGTCTCACCTGAGATACAAAGGGTCATTTAAGATGCAACACAAAACCACCATTCATTTTAACTGTTGTTAATTTGTGAAACCAGGATTTGGATTGCTGACAATCATTCACACCTTCCCTGTTTCTGCAAATCCTGGTTTCAGCACTTATGGTCTTCTTTTTCTACCCCTCAACCAACAGCCTGGCTGGTATTACAGACTACTTCAGAATGCCCAACTAGATTTGCCCGGTTTTGCGGGCTCCTGCCCGCCACGGGCAAGCAGGAGGAAATACCCTCCCAACAGCAATGCTGTGTGATGTGCCTACATCACCAGAAGTGATGCAGGCACGCTCGGGGTGACACTCTGGGTTTTGGGGCAAAACTCTATGGTTTGAGGGCTATTTTACCATAGAGTTTTGCCCAAAACCCAGAGTGTTGTCCCAACATGCCTCCATCTCTTCTGGGTGATGTAGACACGGTGCACAACATCACTTCTGGTGACATTGGCACATCAGGGACGACACCTCCGGCTCCTGTTCCGGCTCCCCCATTGGCATCTCTAACGGACCTGGCAACCCTATGCCCAACTAAGGACACAATATTTTGTTGTGTTACTGCATCCCCTTACTATTTGTCAGTGGCAACATGAAAGCAGAAAAACTGCACTCTGCAATCTTCAGATGCTCTCACAGGAGCAAACAGCCACTGAACCATGCCCCCCCGGACTAACAAAAGAAAGGCAGTCTCTCCTGGGTTTGATATCCCTCAAACAAGGAACTAGCTTCCCTTACTGACTGCAGAACGTCCAGGCAATAAAGAGTTCAACAGAGTGAACCTGGAGGGTTGCAGGCTGCAGTGTAACCACTGGGTCCAGGGTGCATCCTCAAGCATTTCCTCCAACTGCCTTCCTTCCTTGAGTGTACTAATGTAGTGTTTAGGTCATTTACTACAGCTAATTGTTTGGGTGGAATTTCCCAAGAAAAGTTTCTGAGTTGGGGGGAATGGTGTCTAGCAATAAATAGACAATGGAAGTCACCTGACCAGATGGAACTGCTTATTCCTGAGTAAGAGTGCATGCAGGTAAGCAGCTCATTTACTTCCCTTCCATTCTATGCCCCGTTCTCTCCATCCTGCTCCCCCCCAGTCCATCTATTACTCATCTATGAACTATCTCCAAGGGCAGAAAAAATATAAGAATCATTCATATCACTAATTTGATTTAGGCTCCAATGAGACCCCACCTTAAAAAAAAAGGTAGAGAAAATCCAAACTGCATTTTCCCAGCATTAGCAATCCTTCAAATAAAGTACAGCCTGACCTTGATCTCCCATACTGAAGGGAATTTGTAGGTCTGGGATGCTATGCTGAGATCCAAAAACACTTGTTCTTCTGGAACAGAGCCTCACTGACTTCAACAGAATTGTGCCAACAAAAACTTTACTTAGGATTGCTGCCAGGACTTATATTATTTTTAATGATAATGTTTTTGCGGTTTTCCTATTGCTGTGTCTTGTAAGTTACCATTACAGTTTACTGCATGATGCATGTCTTCCTTAGTTTCTTCTGAAAAATTACTTCAATGGTAAATTAAAAATACTGCACAATACCAATCTGTACATGTTGTGCAGATCTTGTGGCACATTTATTAGTCACATCTAACACTAAATATCTCTGACACTGAAATTGCTATCATGGAGGAAGCACACACAAAAATAACAGTTTTCTTCTTCAAAAAGGAGAAAGTCAAGTGGCTCTTTTTAGCCACATGCACATTACTCATTCAAAGATGAACATTAACAAATCGACTCCTTTTCCGTCAGAAAGATCCTCAAGTGGGAATATGACAGTAACCACTCAAACACAGTACAAAAAAAAAGCCTTTTTGGCATTACAACAGTGTTACTCATACTGGATGCATTTCCCCCCAAAAAAGTACGTTAACATCCAAGTAGGGCTGGGTAGGTTAAATGTTGATATTTAAATCAATCATAGATAGATTCTGTCAAATTAGATGGCTGCAAGAGCAACTCGAAGCACATTAGTTGAAACTAAGGCCTTGGTATGGATTACACTAAGGGAAATCTAGTGTAGCACTGAATTTTTGCACCCAAGCACCTTTGAAGCAAGAAATGGACCTTTGAGGGATATGAAAAGCTCCCTGAAATACACTAAACAAAACCCTGCCCTCTTGGCCTTTTGCACTGTTCATGTCCCTTTGTGGCTTCAATAGCAATGTTATTGCTGCACACCCAAAACCATGTGCTGTAGCTGACTGAATTTGGTTATCTTAGCAAATCACTTTTCATTATTCCAGTTACTTCACTGAGGACAAAGCCCTTGAGCCAGTTTGGTGCAGTTAAGTGCGCGGACTCTAATCTGGGAGAACCGGGTTTGATTCCCCACTTCTCCACTTGCACCTGGCTGGATGACCTTCGGCAAGCCATAGTTCTGATAAGAGCTGTCCTTGAAAAAAAGAGCAGTTTATGTCAAGAGCTCTCTTAGCCCCACCTACCTCACAGGGTGTCTGTTGTGGGGAGGGGAAGGGAACGGAGTTTGTAAGCCGCTCTGAGACACCTTTGGGTAGTGAAGGGTGGGGTATAAATCCAATCTCTTCTTCTCTTCTTCTTCTTGAGCCACTTCTACTTTAAGTCCCCCTTTCCAGTTGCCAAAAGCTCCCCGTCTTGCCATACTGCATTGGTGGTTTCTATTCCCTGCCAGCGCTATACAGCAAGACTTTCACCTGACTCTTTCTAGCTTTATATGAAAACTGCAACAGAATGTGAAAGGGGATGCACATCCTCACCTATATTCTAGTGCATTCTAAGTGACTAGATTAGGTCAAGGAAGCAGTGATCTAGATGCTTTTGCAACAGGATGCATCCTTCTTCCCCTGCAAAAGTTCCAGGCAACTTGCATAGTGGCTGGTGGCTGCAGCCCAGAAAAAGAAAAGAAAAGCTAACTCTGTTGTGCCCAAGTTCTCCTGTATACAGATAACAGCACAACGATTTAGGTGGGTCATCTCTGCTCATACAAGGCAAAAATATTCACCAGCTATCCCCTTCCTACTGCTCCCCTGGGTCACACTTTTGATTTCTAGCTGTTCTGATTCTAAATAAAAACTTATCAAAAAAATCTTCACAACCACCCAACCAAAACACCCCACAGGCCTCCTCTCATGAAGCACCACCAACATGAGGTAGCCACCAAGAATACATGCCATTTAAATATAGCATGTGAATGGACACTCTCTCTGCTTTCTCTGTGGGATTTTATTTTCAATTTGAAACCTTCTCCATCACAAGCTTTAATATTTGTTCTTTCTGTGAAACAGTTGAAAAAGAGGAATGATCTACTAAACAAGACTGGGGCATCATAAATATGAGCCCATAATACCACAAGACAAACCTGTAAACAAATGTCTTTTGATCCAACAGCACCAAAAAGACAGACTTTCTACAGTCATTGGTATGTCAAACAATTAATCAGTAACTCAAGAGTGCCTCTAATTTAACAGGAATTTCACTTACACAATGGTTCCTAAAGGACCCTGATTCTTCAGTGTTAATAACAGCCTTGCCCCACTTCCCTGATATCACAATTTCTGCATTTTTAAAAACAACATCCAGGGTGGAATTATCGCTACTAGCACTTTATTATGTTTTATGGTTTTAGAATTGTTATATATATTAGTTGATGCTATTTTTTATTCTATATTATTGTAAATTTTATGTTGTTTTTATCTAAGCCACCCTGAGCCGGCCTAGACTGGGAGGGTGGGGTAGAAATCTAATAAATCAAATCAAATCAGATGGTTGTAACTTAACATGTGGAGGAAAATGACACTTGACCACCAAGGGAGAAAATTCAAGGGTTAAACGGTCAAGTTACACCTCCCCCCACATGAGGATTGTGTTGCTGTCTGGACTGGATGCTTTTGGGGAGGAGGATGTCCAATATTTTCCACAAGACCTTGGATTTCTTTTCATTCCTTGCTCAAGACAAGCTGACAATGTTCCTTGCCACAGAAAGCAGCCCTTTAGCAGATTTGCTGGCAGCTTGTCTTCAATTTGTCTCACTTCTTTCAACAGAACTCTTAACCTGTTCACCGATAATACAAAATAATCCACGTGGGTCTCTCTTCTGCAGCTGTTGAAGAAACACTTTGAAATAGGATGCCAAGAATATAAAACAACTAGATAGGTAGGGGGAGACATACTCAGTTTGTGCTTTTTAATTTCCTCAAGTTAGAAAGTTCAAACATTTCATGAATGTCTGAATATGTTTTAGAGTAAATACATGTTTTTGGGTTTACCAAATGTATGTCCTTTTCACAAAATAAAATCCAGGGGAGACCAAATGAGTCTGGGGGAGCTGACACTGCAGTGACAAGTTCTACCACCAACTTATACATGTTCACTTGAAGGTGTATAGCTATGTGTGTACAAATGTGTGCAGGAAGGCACTCTCTCTGTGACCAGGAATCCTGCTTTTTCAACATTCCCAATCATGCAGGGAGATGTGTGAGAGGTGTTTACACACCTTCAGGTATACAAGTTCAGTCTCTACAAATTGATTAAAGCTCTTTATACAATGCAAAAGTTACATGTTCCATATGCTTAATGCAGAAGGTGTTGTTGGTCAGCCAGGGCTCAGCAAGAGTGAGGACTCCTCAGGAGAAGAGGAGCCAGCTCTGAGTTAGCAGAAGCCAGCAAGCAGGAAGACGAGCTACAGGCTTGTCAGGATTCACAGCCAACACCTGGTGCAGAGCAAGGACACCCTCCAGCCCTGATTCAACAGGTGAAACTCAGTAGATCATTTCCAGCCCTCCAGTATCATCCACACCCTTAGAACGTCACAGACAGAGGCTACGAACAGAACTACAGGAGAAACGACAACATGCACACTTCCTGGCCAGACTCCAGCTGCTTGAGCAGTTGCAGACTTCCTCCCAAACAGCTGGCTGTAAGCATGATCTTTAAACATATGGCTATAAAAACCAGCCAAGGGAGGCTGTTAGGTGTGGAAGCAACAAGTTGAAATCCCTCTGTCTCTGTGTCCCCTGCATCAGATCCTGCCTCAACCATGTAACTCTTCGGACCATTTTCTAACTCTGCCTTCATCTTGCTTCTGCATCTGCTCATGAGTACTTCTCATATTCTCAGACCCTGCTGTATGGACTGATCCCCGGACTAGACTCCTGACTCTGTGCATAACCTTGGACTGGACCTTGACTATGCTTCTCGAGTTGGTGCTCTTGCCTTACTTGCTCCATGCTCTGAGAATGTGTCCTACACCATTCCCAGCCCAGCTCACGACACACTGCCTCCCCTTCTCTCTCCTGCTTCCATTTACCTCCTTTTCCATTTTCAGTATTTTATGGCTTGATATCATATGTGCACTGTTGAATGAAAACCAGAGTTTCAGTCTCTGTCTTAAATCTAAATATGGTTGAAATATGTTCAGCTTTGTACACTCCATAGTTCTGAAAAAGGAAAGTGAATTTGAGTGAATAGTTAAGGAAAAGCATGTGGCCCAAGGCAGAAGGATATACAGGGGAAGAGGAAAACCACATGAGCCTGTGGACCACTTCCACACTTAAACACACTTAAAGATTAGACTTTGTTGCTTCTGCCCTGAGCCCCTGATGGTAAATGGAATCTCAAAGACTCTGATGATATCCACCTCTTTAATGTTCTAACTGCAGCTTTTACCTCAATGTCAAGGGCTTCTGTGGAGAACCCGCCCACACACAACCCAAGTTTTAGAAACGACTTAGGGTACTGCAAGATCTAAGGGGAGCTTTAGCATACACTCAACACATGGTCTTTTGAACCTTGTACAATTAAGACCTTCTGAAATAAAGGAGCCTTTTGTTTTTGTTTGTTTTTAACCAGAGACCTTGATTTTAGAGTGACGCAGGTCTAATTTTTTTTCTATACTACTAGCAATCATATTTTTATTCACATTTCCTCCAAAGTGCTAAGAGTAGTTCATACTATTCTCCTTCCCTCCAATTTATCCTCAAACAGCTATATTAGGTAGCTTAGGATGAGAGCGCATGGTTGGCCCAAGGTCACCAAGTTTCATGTCTGAATGGGGATTTGAATCAAAGTCCAGCACAGGCTTTCTCCTCCAGTGTCACAAAGAAACTCATACCCCAGTCAGAGACCAAGGCATAAGTGGCTTCACCCAATGATGAATAACATCCACTCATGTTTTAATTTCTGAAGGCCCTGTTATGCCACACCCCCATCTTAGGGTCTGGTAGTTGTCCTGTTGGGCCAATCCTTAAACCATCTAGCCATGCTAGATATTGCAGTAGTTAAGTACTACTCTGAGTACAACAAAACACCAAATGTAGAGTGCAGACTATGACAAGGGATGGAACTGGGTATCAATGGCACAAGCTGCCATTATTACATGTTGCAGCAGATGAGTTGACAATCAGCTGGTGCAGGGTTCTAGAAGAGCAAGTGGCAAAACCACCCTGACCTTCTTAGGGTTGACAGAGCCAGTCACCACAGATCCAAATAGACAGAACCAGATCTGAGGCTAAGGGTGATGGTCACACTGAGCCACATTTAGCAGGCTTAGATGTTTTTAATTTAAATAAACATACTTTCCCCCAATGTGTGTGAAGAGACCAAGACCAAAACCAATGAGCAACAGAGGCGTCCTGCTGTGCACCTGTGACCTATCATTAAGCCAAAGTCAAGACAATTCTTCTCACACAGGAAAGTAGGAACACAGACACTGACTTGGTGCCACATGGTAACATTATCAACTTCTGTGTCCTGGACTGCAAAATGCTTTATTCAAAGATCTTGCCAAGAAGAACAGTGCAGGTTCAGTTTAAATTCTAGAAAGCTATTATCCCATAAAATGGGACTTCAAGTCTATGAATAAATTGGCTCAGCAACAAAACATGTATTCTAGCCAAAGCTAAAACTTTAATACCAAATAATTTCATAGGTAGAGATGGCATTTAACTCTCCTGTTGAAATCAATAGGACCTTAGTACTTAGTGTGGTTAAAGTAACCATTTGGGGGCACAATCTAGCCACAGCTAACAAGAGTTTATACTGGACCAGCGTGAAAACATTAGTCAAAATAGCAGGTTAACTAAAAAAGATCTCCGATCCATTATGACACTGTTATTACACAGTTTCTCTACCACCTTTAATATTTTCCTTGTTCCAAATCTCAGTTTAAAGCGCAAAAAATGCAGTTCTTTGAAGTGCCCACATTTGGATGTCACCGTTTATTTATTTATTTATTTTCCACATTTATATCCCGCCCTCCCCAGTGGGCTCAGGGCGGCTAACAAGGGCATAATTAAAAACATATAAAACATGTGCCATAATTAAAAACATATAAAACATAATAAAAACATCCAACACTTAAAACAATGGTCCTCAGTCAATTACTAATCTCATACGTCCAGGATAGAATGTTGTTTCTTTCAAGCCTGGAAGAATGTTGTTTCTTTCAAGCCTGGAAGTCTGTGCTTAGGGGTAAGAGGGAGCTAGCTCATTGCAAATCTGAAGATAAAAACAAATGGGGTTGTGAGTCCCCAAGCAGTAGTGGGACAATTTTTAAAAATGGAACTTGGGTCTGTGGCCTGATGTCAGTTCCGTGGAAACCCTGGAAATGATGTCAATCCTCTCTAGGAAGCACTGGAAGATGTGTGGTTTTACCACAGAGTTTCCATCAATTCCTAGAAAAGCATGGCATTACTTCCAGGGCTTTCTTGGAAGTGATATCATGCTGTTGCTGATGGCTGCCCCTATGTTGCCCCCCCCCCCAGTATCTTACTTGTTGCTAGGCTGTGCCTGGCAACCATAAGAACAAAGCAGAGTTTATTTCTGAATGTAGTCATCTCTGAAGAGGAAATCATGATCCTATGTTTACTACCACAGTGTTGTATTAGTGAGCCAGTGTGATATACAGGGTTGTCAGGCCTCCTGCTATGCCAGGAGACTTTCCACTGACAGCTCTCTCTTCCCACTGCCACTCCTTTGGGTGACAGGAGAAATAAAGTGGCTGGCATCATGCACAATGCCACTTCTAGGGAGTCCCTAGAAGTGATGTCTGGAAATTGCTGGAAACTTTATGGTTTTACCATAGTTTCCAGTGATTCCTAGGGCTATGTGATATCACTTTTGGTTTTGCCCAGAAGTGATGTGCTGCATAGGATGCCGTCTTCCCTCATAGCTGGCAATCCTTGTTGTATACCATCAGACTAGGATCTGGGAGATTCAGATTCAAATCCCCGTTCTGCCATTGAAGCTTGCTGGCCAACCTTGGGCTAGCTATACACTGTCAGCATAAGCTACCTCACATGCCACGGTGAGGATAAACAGAGGAGAGGAATGAGTAAGCTGTGTTCGGTCCCCACTGGGGAGAAAGAAGTAAAATAAAATAAACATCAATTTTCTAAGTCTATGTAATAATGCCATGTTCTATGTAGAGAAAGACTAAGTAGCAGCACAAATTATCTATGTTATCATTAGTAAACGGTTAACTTACATGTGCTGAGATGCATTTGGGTAGAACTCAGAGAACTGCGGCGCAGAGTCCTCCGGGCCATGGGGAGCAGCATGGCTGATCACCATCATGATCGGTCTATGGGGATATATCCTCTTAGACATTTTGAAATAATTAATGCTGTCATTAGTGATCAGGTCAGTGAAATAGTCCTGAAACAAAACATTCAACACAAAACAACATTTGCCAAGTGTATCATATAGCAGGCCACATTATATTGCTTTGTTTTTCTGCAATGTATTATAAACTACTGTGATTTCAGTCAGGCCCCAGTTGCAGTGTTTGGTCTGAAGACAAAGACACAGTTCCAGATAATGCCAGAGTTGCAGTTGTGTTCTAAAGACAGTTCTCTGCCCAGATGAACAGCTGTGTTCTGGGAAAGAATGTCACTATTATAATAATTGAGGAACCAGTCCAAGAGGGTAGGATACCCCAAGGCAGTGATTTGAGGGCTGAAATGGGAATAAAGAAGGTTTTTGGGTTGGGGAACTCCCTGAGAAAGGTGGGGTTTGGGTAGGGAGCTTAGCAGTGATGTGATGCCATACAGTTCAACCTTTGAAGCTGCCATTTTCTCCAGGTAGGGTTGCCAAATCGACTTACCTCTGCCGGCGGGGGACTTTGTGCTGGCTCCCGGTGTGCGCGCACGCACGCTTTGTCCGCGTGCGCCGCATGCACATCACAGGGAAGTAATGTCATGGCGCCGGGCATGCCGGGGGCGGGGCACAGCCATTTGAGGGAAAAACTCTATGTTTTCCCCTCAAATGGCTGTGCCCCGCCCCCAGCGTGCCCGGCGTCATGACATCACTTCCCTGTGACGTGCACGCGGGGGTGGGGTTTCCCCGGGGCCCGATTCCGCGGGGGCGGAAGTCGGGCCTCCAAAGTGGGGAGAAATCCACCCCCGGGGGAATTTGGCAGCCCTATCTCCAGGGCAACTGATCTCTGCAGAGATCAGTTGCAATTCTGGGAGGCTGACAACTCTGTTTTGGGGTTCAAGCCCAACCCATTATCTGTAGATAACATACACCTGAAACAACACTCCCTTTCATGCAAGTATATCCCAGAACACACAAGGCACTGCCAATGCCAAAATTATCTGCTTGTTTATTAATTGTATGTAATTTATCTAAATCAGACTTACATTTGTGTGCTAAGAAAAATATATAAGAAGGTATTTCAAATGGTTGTCTGACAATTATAGTAAACAATGAACATTCAGGCATATAAATCTTAAGCACTTCTTTAAAAAAATTAAATCACTAAGGCTGATGTACAAGTGAACTCTTGGCCAACAAAATGGTTAACTATAGAGCCAAGGTAGAAAATAGAAATTTGCAAGAGAGAGGAAAGTACAGAGAACATATACAAAAAGATGAAAACGCAGAATTAAACAACCTTTCACTTTGCAGCTTTAATTTTGGTCCATAGAACTGGTGTGAGCTCCACTGAGTAGTCCTGAGACAATCTGTATAATTTAACATGGTTTCAGGCACAACCAATCAATACCATGGTGTGGATTCAAGGCCCAAGCAGCTGCAAAAGCAGTGCTTGAAGAGGACAGGGTATGTTATTCGTTTCTGTGTTTGGGGAGTTGTGTGAGTTAGAGCAAGGCAAACTATTCTTCAAACATCTTTTAAAACCTGTTAGGGGACTGGCACAAGGAATTTAAAGGGAGTTTAAAGAATTGCTTCAGGGCTCCCTGAAGGACAAAACCTGTCTAAATCTTCAGGATTTATACTCCTTAGTTGGTGGCATATTGATTTAAAATATTTATATGCTATCTTCCTGCCTGACAGCATCTTGTAAGGCAGGTCATACAATCAAGATATAAAATAAGTATTTTTAAAGGTGACAGTGATAAAGAAAATCAAGGGGCACTGAAAAATATCCTATCCCCAGATCTTAGATTTTTCTGATGCTACTAACTACAACTGCTTCTGTTTAAAGTTCTGCAATACTTACTGAGGAAATTACTCTCCCCAGGCCAAGTAGTGCCACCTAGCACTCAAGGGTAGGAGATGTGATTTTCCTGATGGGTGGAGTTTTTCCTCAACCAGGCAGGTGCAGGGTCAGCAGCACTTGTTTCTTCCCAGCTTTCTGATTATCACTGAATGCACTGGCAAGGGCTGTCCATTTCTCTGGACTGAAATGCTTCTGCTGCTTCTACTCTAACTGTTATGTACTGTTGCATGGTACTATACTACCAATATGCCACAAATCAAAGAAATACACATGCATCTGAAGTTTCCCCCCATAGCTCCCAAGGACAAACAAAAATCTAATTATTTATTTTACCAACCCATTAATAGATTCACCAAAAGCAGTCAGAGTTGCCTGATATTCCAAGAAGGTACTAAAAAACAACTAAAGCTACACCAGTTTCTGCAATAAGCAGCAAAGACTCCAGATGACTTTCTATATTAAACATCCTTGTGGCAGTTTGAGATGTTTCCCCTAACTGGCAACAGGACTTGGACCTTACATTGGTTATCATTCCTTTCCACTTTTTCCAATGTGTCAGAAAGTCCAGCTGCAGCATCTACAGAATCTTCCATCAGCAACATCTGGAGGAAGTTCCTGACTGAACATAAACGATTTGCAAGGTTCAGGATAGGGAAATGCCAAGTACCTCACAGACAGCACAGTGAGCAGTTATCCATGACATATACTCCTTGCTGTGGCTGACAAGCCAACAAAACCAGACATTTCTTAAACCTTATTTCCGGATATATCCACTTAACCTATCAATTTCAGAGTTTGATGCTACTGACATAAGGTTGGATCTAGGCTGAATTTTTGGCAAACTGAAGGTGAAAAATAATTTCCACCAATTCTTCCCTGTTTCAGCCCCCCTTGTCATTCCTCAGGGTCCCCTGTACCAGCATTTTAAGGAGATGAATGGGCTGAAGTGGGAGGGAGGAAAGGTTAAAGGTTATGAGGAAAGGTTATGAGGAAAGGTTAAAGCGCTTAGGGCTCTTTAGCTTGGAGAAAAGACGACTGAGGGGTGACATGATCGAGGTTTATAAGATTATGCATGGGAAAGAGCAGGTAGAGAAAGAGGTACTTTTCTCCCTTTCTCACAATACAAGAACTCGTGGGCACTCCATGAAACTGCAGAGCGGTCGGGTTAGAACGGATAAAAGGAAGTACTTCTTCACCCAAAGAGTGATTAACACATGGAATTCACTGCCACAGGAAGTGGTGGCAGCTACAAGCATGGACGGCTTCAAAAGGGAATTAGATAAGCATATGGAGCAGAGGTCCATCAGTGGCTATTAGCCACAAGGTATAGCTAGGGGCTCTGGGGCAAGTGATGCTCTGTCATCTTGGTGCTTGGGGGGGGGGGGTCAACAGTGGGAGGGCTTCTAATGTCCTGGCCCCACTGCTGGACCTCCTGATGGCACTGGTATTTCTGGCCACTGTGTGACACAGAGTGTTGGACTGGATGGGCCTTTGGCCTGATCCAACATTGGCATCTCTTATGTTCTTATGTTCTTAAGCAGGAAAAGTGGCATTCTACTGACAAAGCAGCCTGGCATAAGTGGAAAACTTATGACTGACTTTGCTGTTCCCCCTCCTCCCACAACAGACCAAAATGCACTTTGAAATCCTGTTTCTGGGGTTCCAGGGTTCTCAATCATTCCCTCCAAAGCTATTTTTATTTTCTTTCTTTAAAAAAGCCTCAGACCCTAATACACATATCTGTATGCAGTGCATAGTTGTTTCCTAAGAAGGAATGTTTAAATATAAACTATACATGGCCCCTGGGAAAGTACAAGCAACTCCCAATTGTTGGGAGAGGGGAACAGCACAGAGATTCCCAAGGATTGTAGATGAAGTCACAGCAGTGTGGTCAGGGATAAGGATGAGGAGAGGGGGGGAAAAGACACCTATGAGGTCACTGAGAAAAAGGTGCCAGGGATAGTGAAAAAACAACAGCAGTAGACAGAGACATTTTTTGGTATTTGATTTATCCTGCTGGATGAACAGGTAACAGCTGTGGCCATGGGTACCTTTCATCAGCTTTGCCTGGTGAGCCAGCTGTGACCCTTCCTGTGCAGGAAAGATCTTGCCACTGTTGTGCATACCCTGGTAACATTTAGATCATATTACTGTCATGCACTCTTCATCTGTCCTTGACAACTGCCTGGATGCTACAGTTGGTACAGAATGCTGCAGTAGAGACGGGCACGAACGGCACTTTTGGGGTTTGGTTCATAACTGAACCACGGATCCATATGAAGCAAGAGCTTGGTTGACAAATCGAACTGGTTTGTATGGGTTCATAAGCCATTTAAAGTTTAAACCCCTGCTTTCTGCTCCCCTCCAAAGTAGCAAGAAGCAGAAAGCAGGGGCTTAAACAGGTCTGAGCCAGTTAAACCATTGCCTTCTGCTTCCCATGAAAAACCGCAGGGAGCAGAAAGTAGGGGTTTAAATGGCTCCAACCCATTCCACTCCCAAGCTTTCTGCTAGCTGCAGCATTTGGTGGTGAGCAAAAAGCAGGGGGGAAATGGCTGGGAGGCATTTCACCCCCTGCTTTCTGCTGTGCGGGATAAGCCGCAGCCAATGGAAATCTGGGGGTGGAATGCCTGGGAGGTATTTCATCTACTTTCTGCTTGCCATGGCTTTTCACAGCCATCAGAAAGTAGGGGTTTAAATGGCTCTGACCCATTTCACCTCCAGCTTTCTGCTGGCTGCAGCGTTTCTTTGCCAACAGAAAGCTGTAGGTAAAATAGCTCAGAGCCATTTAAATGCCTACTTTGTGCTCCCTGAGGCTTTTTGCAGGGAAAAGAAAGCAGTGGTTCATCAGCTGAGCGTCGGAGACTTCCCGTCGCTCATTTGTTTTTTGTAAAGAGTAGAAAGAAGGGGGTTAAATGGCTTGGAGCCATCTAAATCCATGCTTTCTGCTCTTCATAAATTGCACCAGAATTCATGGAAACTCAATGGCAGCTCTTCAGTTCAAGAACATGGCCTCATGAACCTGCCAAAATTCATGATGAATTTTAATTCATGAGCTGGTTCATGCCCATCCCTATGTTGCAGCCAGAATGCTGACTGCTGTGGGTTGTAGTAGAGATCATATCACTCCAGTCTTGTTCCATCTGCATTGACTCCCTATTCAGGGAATAAGGTACTGATGTTGACTTTTTAAGCCCTCTGTGGCTTGGAACCAACGTACCTTCAGGACTGCCTATTCCCATGTGAACCTCCCATCCATTCCAGTTATCTTTGGAGGCCCTGCTTTGGGTTCCCCCCACCATCTGAGGCTAATTGCACAGCAACCCAATAAAGGGCCTTCTCGGTCATAGTACTGAAACTCTGGAACTCCCTCCCCAGAGAGATTCTTCTGTCTCCCTCTACTGTTGTCTTCTGACAGTAGGTGAAAACATTTTTTTTTAGTTTTGTGTTCCTTCACTAACTGCAATTGACCCTTGTCCCTGCTTGTATTGTTATCTATGTTTATATGTTTTACTTAATTATCTAAATATTTTATTTATCATTTTAAATGGTGTTTCAGTGTCTTGATGTTTTAACGTTTGCCACCTTGGGGATCATGTTTAGGTGGAAAGGTGACATAGTAATGCTTTAAATAAATAAAATAAATGTTTGTTTTTTGAGCTTTAGCAACATGGCTTAAAAGGGAGATGAGCAATGTTAATTAAAATGGCCTTGAATTCTGTACACTTATACTGAGAGGAGGGGAAAGGGTTTGGACTATACAACTGCTTCCTAAGAAAAACTGATTAAACATAAACTATACATGACCCCTGGGAAAATACAAGCAATATTCCCTATTGGTGGTAGTGTGGAGCACACTTAGAAAGAGGAGTGGGAGAGAGAATAAAGCTGACACTATGTGGGCAGCTCCAGCTGAAATGACGTTTTTAAAATCGGCACAGCCAGTCACATCTCAGCCAATTAGAAGACCTGTTGGACAAGAGCCCCACTTGGCCCCACCCACTTTCTATAAACACTCGGCAGGCACCAGGAAAGCTGTGGGTGGATGCCATGGTGCCCATGGATAGGGGACTCCTGCCTTGTATGATTGACGCCACCTTATACAACAGAAATATCTGCACGGTACCTTTGCATATTCAAATCCATGCTTCTCTTTGAGACCATTGCGACAAACTGTATAATTGTAGAAACGAGAGTTCTTGATTAATCCAACCCATTCTCGCCAACCAGGAGGAATGTAGCTGCCATTATATTCATTGAGGTATTTTCCAAAAAAAGCTGTGAAAGAAGCACAGTTTAGGTTACTTGAAATTCCTCTTGGTCACAGTTCCTACATTAACAGACCTTTGTATTATAGAACTCAGTAGGACTTAAAAGCTTGTGAATTTTCTACAGGATTTGTAATATATGTCTGTTAAATATGTATATGGATGCATATATTTGGATGTTAAATATGTATACTGATGTATATATTTGGATGCCCTCTTCATCGGGTGGCAACCTCAAGAAAGGACCTTCTCAGTCATGGGAATAAAACCACGGAATTCCCTCCCCAGGGAGATTTGTCTACCCCCATCTATTTGGTCTTAAAGGTGCCACTGGACTCAAACTTTGTTATGTTGCTTCAGACCAACATGGCTACCCACTGGAACCCATCTATCTTTGCCTTCCCACCAGTTAATGAAGACTTTTTTGTCTTTGGCATTCCCTTATTGGTCCTCCTCTTTGTGTTAATTGCTGTACTTATATACAGACAGTTTTACATGTGTTTTAAATCGTTCACTGCCCTATGGGCCTCAGTTGGGTGGAAAGGCGGAATACTAATGTTTCCAATAGCTAAATAAATAAATATCTTCTGTGCAAGTATTTCTAGCCCACTTTTAAGTCAGAATAGTCCTCCTCCTCCATCCCACTAAAGTCTTGGTTATAAAACACTGAAATATTCGTCACTATAACCACGATGACAAAGTGCATGGTAGCATTCTAGCAACTGGGGGTGGGGGCAAGCAATTTAAAACTCAATCAATCAAAACCAAGGAGATCAAGATTAATCCAGGAGGGGGGAAATCAATCTCACAAGCACATCAGTTTATACTCAATAACTAACCAAAAGCCTTCCAAGCAGAAACAAAAAACTTTAACTGTCCTCTTAAAACTTGTAAGGAATTGCCCTGACCTAGATAGCCCAGGCAAGCCCGATCTCATCAGATCTCAGAAGCTAAACAGGGTCGACTCTGGCAAGTACTTGGATGGGAGACCTCCTCGAAATACCAGAGGTGGGAGGCAGGGGTAGGCCTTATTCAGCCACCTCTCTGAATATCTTGCAGGCCCCTGGTAGAGGTCAGTCACCAGAAGTCACCATGACTTCCAGGTGCACACACGGACACATAATTTAAAAAATACCCCAAAAAACCCCGCTTGTAAGGATTCACACAAAAAATGTCTCACAAATGTTATAGCTTCTGTGCTGCCATCAAAAAGACTCTGTCCTATATGGTCACCTGCCAAACTTTTAATAGAAGTGGCACACAAAACAAGGCCTCAGGTGGCTCAGGAAGGCCAAACCACACATGCTTTGGGAGTTCTGTGATAAGAGCTCCAAGTGAAAATATTGAGATGTGCGTGGGGTCCAAATTTAGATCAAGACCACAGCACATGGATAGGCAGAGTTTAAACCTCCCTCCTACACCATTTTCCTGACTTGTCCTGACTTAGTTACCCTTATGAGCTACTATGTGCATGGTCCAAACGACTGCCATGTGTGCATTAGCCCTATAAGAGTGTGCCGTGTTTCACAGACAAGATATGTCCACTTTCATTTGAAAATTTAATTTCTAGTGACTATGGGAAGGGACACTTGAAACCAGAAGAATGACAACTCTAGCAATTCACAGTATAGTTTTTAATATCATCCCCCAAGTAAAAAACAGGGACAGCCCTGAAAAACCTGGCCAGTTGGAAGAAATAAAAGAATAGAATGCCAGAGTTGTCTTAAAGGTAATTCACATCTGTGCTGTAATGTATGCCTGTAGTTAGCAGGCTTATCCACCATCAAAAGAGAAAGGCGAGGCCATGTTTTGACAATCAATAAGGCTACTCTCTTGGGGTTCTAAGATCTCTGTGCAAAATTGGCAGCCCTTGGATGACAACTGGCAAGAGACTAGGGAGAGTGGAGATAGATGGGAATGGCATTGTGTGATGCCTTAACATCATTTCCAGACGAAAACCTGGAAGTGACCTCACGGCATCACGTAATGTTCATAGAATCCTCCTGATCAATGGGATTTCTAGACTATCAAGTGATGCAGTGACATCACCTCTAGGATTCCTAGAGAGATGACATGGAAATGTCAATTCCAGTTTTTCAGCCAAAAATAATGTTGTGGCATTGTCCAGTGCCATTTCCTTGTCCCGGTTTGCTCCTGCTGCTCCTTAGAGAATATGGAACGACACTTCTTAATCTACTTGTTGCAAAGATAGCCAGTCTCTTAATAATACAAAGCTAACCATTTTCTGTCTTACAAACTACCTCAAAGCTCAAAGGCAGACAGGGTTGGCTTTTGCCAAGAGGAGTCATGCCAAAAGTGATCATAATGGGAAATAGTATATTGAGCAGTGTCCAGTTTTTGGGGTGCAAACTAGCGTTCTGTACTGGCTTTAAAGAGTTTCCTCCAGTTCTGCTATTTTAACAGTTCTCTTTGCTTGTTTGATACTTGGCTCATAAAATCTACCTACGTGTTCCAACTGGCTGCAACCCTCAAGTTTTTGACATGCTCATGTCTGAGTACTATTCATGATGGCCTGCAGGCAACTTTATATATTTAGAAACAGAAGCAAGGAGAATTAGGAAGTCATTTCTGTTTGTATAATTAATAAAATACCAAGCACAGCTGAGTGGATTAAAAATGTCATTAAAAAGTAATACCATTTCAGGGAACATCCTTTTATTATTGTCTCTAATGGAGCCCACGGGGATAACGCAGCAGAGATAAATGCAGATTTTTGCATTTTAATGAGACAGATTTTATCTGCATTCTGGCGGTTTTGCTAAGTGTTCCCAAGACACAGTGCCATTGTTTAAACACATGTAGCATACTTTGTCAGATCACAACAGCAGCAGTCTCTCTGAACATGCTCAATTAAGCATGCATAAACAGCAACTCTTAGCAAGGTGAACAGTTCTTACACTTGAGACCAGAACAATTAAAAAACACAAACACGAACACTGCATTTCCTAAAACTTTAGCTGGCTTTATTTTCAATTTTCCTAACAGCTGACCTTTCAGTCTCAAAACAGAGTATAGGATGGCTTAATATCCACTGTTTTTAATGCCCTGCCACAATCTGTAGCACCCTACCCCTGGGGGAGAAGCAGAAATAGTTGGAAGGGCATAACTGGAAAAAGGCATAGCTGGAAAAAAGCAGCAACTTAGTTGCACAGGAGAGGGAAGAGCCAGTGAGATCAGTAAGGGAGGAACAGCCAGGAGGAAGCAACCAGGACTAGATTCAGAGCTACCAGTTTCCCACTGGTTTTACCACAGAATTTCTGGAGATACCCAGAGAAGTGTAACATCTTTTCTGGGTTTTCTGTGGAACTAATATCACACTGTCATAGGGTCGTTAACTCCAGGTTGGGAAATTCCTGGAGATTTGAGGGGTGGAGCCTGGAGATGGTGGAGTTTGGGGAAGGGAGGGACCTCAGAGGGGTACAATGCCATATAGTCCACCCTCCAGAGCAGCCATTTTCTCCAGGGGAAATTATCTTAGTCATCCAGCAGAACCAGTACAGACAGTTGCCTGCTCTGGGTTGGAGAATACCTGGAGATTTTGGGGTGGAGCCTGGGGAGGGTGGGGTTTGGGGAGGGGAGGCACATCAGTAGAGTATAATGCCATAGAGTCCATCCTCCAAGGCAGCCATTGTCTCCAGGGGACGTGATTTTGGTCATCTGGAGATCAACTGTGATGCCAAGAGATTTCTAGGTGCCACTTGAAGTCTGGCAACTTTGTCTAGAGATCAGTGGTAATTCTGGGAGATCTCCAGGCTCCATCTGGAGGAAGGCAACCTTGCACTGTTGCTGTTAAGTATGAAACTCAACGCCGTCTCGTAAGTAAAACAGTGAATCAGCTTTATTGAAGTAACAGGAACAATCAGAGAACACACACAACACAACAGTGGAGCAAAGCTCCCTTTTAAACTATCCCAGGCTGGAGTAGCCACGCCCTAGAACAGTTAAGGACCAATAGGATTACAACAATAACAACTAATCAGATTAGTTCCCTCCTGAACATTTCTCTGCCTTCTGAATGGGTACTTATATACAACAGCCAATAGGATTGTTCCATCTTGCAATCCTTGTCCTGGTCTTAAGCTTTACATGAGATGTTATACAGCCAAGACATAACAGTTGCCAAGTGCTGCCCCCCAAGTCCCTGCCCACCCCAGCCTCCCACCAGTTACTCAGAGGGTCATAATGCTGTACAGTCCACCCTTCCAAGCAGACATTTTCTCCAGGGGAACTGTCTCTATAATCTGGAGATAAATTGTAATTCTGGAGTGCTCCAGACCCCAACTTGAAGTTGACAACCTAGGCATCCCCACAGTGAAGACGGGTTCCCTAGTCCTGGGGGCGTAACAAATCCATTATGTATTTTTAAAACTCTTAGTCCATCATATTTTAGTGACTCCAATATATTATATGGAAAACTTTAGGTAGCCTGCACATACCCTCTGTGAATCACAGGTACGGATGGGCATGAACCAGAAAACTGTGGTTCATTTTGGTTCATGGCATGCCCAGTTCACAAGCCATGAACCTTCATGAATTTTTAAGAGCTAGTAGAAAAGAGTAAGAGTCCAGTAGCACCTTAAGACTAACAGAATTTGTGGTAGGGTATGAGCTTTTGTGAGTCACTGCTCACTTCTTTTAAGAGCTAAACTGTTTTGGTTTGTGATGTGGTAGAATGCCGCTCCCTGGCATGCTAGAGACACCAAACGAAACAATAGGAACCCCAAGTGTATGAAATGTACAAAGATGAAAAACGCAAGGGTAGACCATCAAAGCATTCACAAATTTCACAAGTTACCATTAGACAATAGTCTATTGCAACATAATTACAGTAAAACAATTAATACAGTAGATTTAGTGGTCACAATTTCAAAACATGAATAAGAAATCAAAGAACAGAAGGGCAGGGAGGGCGGGATACAAATCTAATAAATAAATAAATAAATAAAATTTGGTATAACAATTCAATAGTAAAGAAAGAATCTAACAGGT